CCACAGGTGATTGACGATAGGATACAAAATCTTATTTGACACTTTTTTGGATTCTCCTCTTCAATTCTCATAATAAAAAGCTACAAAAAAAAAAAATGGCTATATTGATATCTTTAAACCAGCCCCATGTCTCAGTGATTTAGCTACAACTACGAGAACAGTAATGTGTCCAACTTCCTCAATTTTGATGGTTTACTGATATGCCAAAGTTAATGTCACACTCCTACAAGTAGAATAGTTGTTGTTAAAAAAAAAAACCTACAAAAAAAACTTTTTATTTGCAATGTAGCATGATGTATTGGTTATCTCAATTTCATTTGTTTTTTTTTTAGACAACTAGTTCCTCTTACAGCTGAGTTAACTGAACTTTACACATTATTAATTGAAAAAATCTAAAATTATTGATTGATGAATAACATGGTCAAGTGTGTGAATTTTAGAGATTATTAGCACATGGGATACAGTAATTAAAATGGATAATCCAACGAATTTTAATTTAAACTAATAAACAAAAGCTTTTGAAATTGGGAAACGTGCCCATTTTCAGAAATACAAAGACTCACGCTTTCTCTATCATCCATCGTCCGTCTGTTTCATTTGATGGTTCGGAGACTTCTAAGCAATTTCAATGGGAGAATCAGAGACGAAACCAAGAACAGAATATCCATAACAACAATACCCACCAAACCCATCTCCGAAGTTTTCTTCTTTTCCCCATTTTCCTTCTCTTCTTTTGACCATTCTCAGAAATCATTGCATGCTTACCCGATTTGGAAAATTCTCTGTTTTTCCTCATCACGCATTCAAATTTTGGGTCGATTGATTATTTCTAGGGTTTCGATTTGCGATTCAACTCTGTGAATTTTGGTTTTGCTTCCTTTTTTGATGGCCGCTTACGCGAATTATCTCCGGATTGCCCGACTTGGAACCGGTTCTGGTGTAAATTTGTCGACTTTAAGATCAATCGGTTCTCCAAATCCGACATTTGACAGGACTCTGTTCGATCACAACGAGATTCGTTCGTCGTTAGTGTCATCTTCTCTGTACAGACGATCCCACGCCAGATTCATATCTCAACTTGTCAAAACCAATGGGAAACGTTTGTTTCTCGTCGATACACTCGCTTTGGTAATAACCCACTCTTTGTATCTATCTAATTTCTCTTGGGCATCTTTGCTTTGGATTGTCTTATCTCTTAGTCAATTTCCTAAGGCAAGATTGTGAAAAAGAAACCCTTTATGAAACGATTCATCACAATTTGTGTATCTTCTTGCTTTTTGAAATGAGAATGCTTATGTATGGTTGTTATAAAGGTATTGTTTAAAGGAGACTTTGGTATGTGATTTTGTCAGGTTAGGAGCTTAGAAGCACAAGGCCTGCCTTCGAAACAAGCCGAAGCAATAACAGGTGCTATAACTGAAGTTCTGAATGATAGTTTGGGGGTTGTGTCTCAATTGGTTGTTTCCAAGGAAGAGATGCAGAAAGTAAGTTTCTATTGTGAAATCTATGACAAGGCTCTGTTGCTTTCATTAACTTTCAAAGATTAAGATCCACTTATAACTTTGATCTTTTTGCTTCTGGTAGACTGAAATGACACAGGAATCAAACTTATCCAAGTTCAAGAGTGAAATTAACAATTCACTGGTAAGTTTGTTTTCACTTTTCAGTGTATGATTGTGCGCTGAATTCGTAAACAGAACTATGTGAGACATTACGCGTCAAATGCTTGGATTGTTGAAAGACCGTTGTTTATGTTTATAGGACCACCATTTTTCTTTGCTGCAACATGAGAATGAGAAACTCCGCAATGACATAGAGCGAATCCGCTCTGATATAAGGTTAGCTTTATAAGAACCTCTAGGATTTGATTTTCGATAGATTCAGTGCAATGACAAATGCAATATACATTGTAGGCACGAGATCGACAAAGTGACAGCAGGACAACGGTTGGACCTGAATCTTGAAAAAGGGTCAGAGAAACAGCTGCCTTCTTTGTTCCTTAGCCTTTCATTTTGTTATATCTTTCGAAAATTTTGTTGTGATATGTTGCAAAAAATGGCGCAGGAGGATAAGAGATGAGCTAACAAATCAAAACGCCGAGACCTCTAACCTTACAAACAAGCTTGACCGAGTCAGTATTCTCATCCATAGTTCTGTAGCCTTTGTTCGTTTTCGCAGCAAGATTATTTATGTTTTTTGTTTTTCTGTTGTCAATCTCTCAGGAGATTCACACTTTGAGAGCTCAGATGGAGGGAGCCAAATACGAGGTGATAAAGTATTGTATCGGTACACTGGTCTCCATCTCAGCCGTCGGTCTCGCTGTCCTCCGGATCATCATGTGATTCCATCGGACCGGTGCGGGTTTTCTGACCAAATTCATCTTTGCTGCGTTTTTGTAATTCTGGGATGAAATCTTGGTCTGCTCTCTCCATCTTGTGAATTGTTCTTCTGTTTTTAATGTAATTGTATTTCCTTGTTATATCAAAGAAGTAAAGAATAATCAATCTAGTATCATGATGTTCTTTCACCTACATGAATAGTATAGTAAACATTACATCACTATTGTATGAGGAAAATGTTCTTCAGAGTTCAGATGACGAACCAAACGCCGATATAGCCATATCCAGTTCTCTCTTGTAGAAGTAACTACTTCATCAAAGTCATGTCAAGGCCCATTGAGCCTCCCAAATTGATGCCATTATGTCTAAGTACGGGCTAGGCTTTAGGCCCATAAGATAATATATCAGTATCAACATGACATAATAACAAGATCGAATTGACTCACATAACCCGGACGCTTGTTCTTTTTCTTTTTATTTTTTTT